GCTTCTGACCACCAGGTGTCGCCAGCACTGGGCGGGGGCCTCCCGGGCAGCCCCAGGCCTGCGGTGGGGGATACGGGGCGGGGTCTTAGGGCTGCCCCAGCTCCTCATGTTGTTCTAAGGCCCCCAAGATCTCGGTCCCTGGACTGGCGTGCCCTGGCCCCTCAGCCCATAAGGAGCACTGACGCGGTGCCGGTGCGATGCTAGGAGGGGCGGGTGCCTGCTGGGCAGAGGGGTGGAGACACCCCAGGTCCGAGTCTGCCAGTCCCAGCTCTCCAGCCCTGCAGGGCTGGGGTCAGAGGGAGCCCAGGTCCCAGCACCTCCCCTCGAGACAGACCCGACCCAGCAAGGCCTCAGCCCGGCTGGCTGGGGCCCGGCCCCACTGCACCTGCCCTGAGCTGGGGTTTCCGTCTGTGAAGCAGATGGTAAGACACCGGCCCCACCCCACCCTTCCTGGGTGATGTGAAGATTCAAGGTGTCTCGGGACTCCAGGAAGGAGTTGCTCAGTGCGGGCTGGCACCCTGGGCAGGCTTCCTAGAGGAGGCGCTGGGATTTGGGTTGGATCTTACAACGTGGATTCCATGTGAGGATGATGCCGTCCTCAGAAATGTCCTTCTCCCCACCCTGTTTTCTTTGTTAAATGCAACTTGACACTTGACTGTCAAGACTCAGCTTTGGTGTCACCTCCTCCAGGAGGGCCCCCCTGACTACAATCCCCCTTCTTTACCCAGAGGCCACCATTGCCCGCTCATGTGTCAGCCTCCCTGGCTGAGACTGACTTCTTGAGGGTGGGGCCTGGCCATCTTGGGAGCTGGGTTGTATCTACTAACTTTGCCGGCTCCTCCAGCTGGGTGCAGAGCTCCAGGGAGGCCACTGAGCCATTCCTAAGGAAGGCTGGAACCCAGGCCTCTGGGGTCTGGGTGGAGATCCCACTCCAAGGGGCTGGGAATACCCCAAGCCCTGCACCTCCCCACCCACCTTCAGGTCGTAGAAGATGATGTCACCGAGCACCAGGTACACCTTCACGTAGTAGAGGGTCTCCTCGTCGAACTCCAGCGGCGAGTTGCAGAGCGACAGGGCCTTGAGGTAGAAGTGCTCCGCCAGCTCGCCGTGGCCCAGTCGGTGGTGCAGGGCGGCCAGCCGGTGGTAGGCCACGCGCTCGTTCAGCCGGTCCCCTGGGGTGCAGGCCAAAGGGGCAAGTGTGAAGACGTGGCTCCCTGGGGCAGGCAGGGCACAGGCCCCTCAGGAGCAGGTAGGCAGACCCCGGGCAACAGCTGGCTTGCCTCCAGGCACCTGCGGTCACCTGGGCAGCTCTGGCCAGTCCCTTCCAGGTTCCCAGACTCACTTTCCCATCTGCAAAGCAGAACTAATAAGGCCCGCCCCCGTCTACTGTGAGGCTTTGGCAAAGTCGGACTTGGATGGCCCAGCTCTGTGCCTACACATAGCCACCTGCCTTTGCTCACCGGTTTTAACCAGGGGAGCCCAAAAGCCATGCAGTCCAGGTGCTCCCGGGCAACCCACAGACGTGACATCCGACTCCTCCTGGGTGTGTCATGATCAGAGCCCCCTACCTTGGGGAGTCACTGCGTACCTGAGCTCCAGGTCCCCCCACAGATGCGCAAACCCACCCAGGCTGTCTCCGATGTCCTCCCCTTTTCAGGGCGAGTGCCGTGGAGCCTGCATTCGATGCATTGCCACACAGCTGCACACCTACTTCGTACTGGGCCCCGGGGCACAAGGCGCTGGGGCATGCGGCCTGCCCAGGGCTCCCTATCTCTGGAGGAGGACAGACGACCCTGGCACAGCACCAGGGGATGCCCGGCCTTAAGGGGCAGGCTGCTGGAAGGGGAACTGGGATTTCATCAGCCAGAGAGCTGTGTGGTTGATGAGGGTGGGAAGGGCACAAGAGAAAGGGAATGTGCCACACAGCCTGGCACATACAGGGACCAACGAGATGCCTGGCATGTCTCGAAGACAGAGGGCACACTGGGTGGCCCTTGTGGTCAGCAGCGGGAAGAGGCAGAGGAAGCAGAGCTCAGTCAGGCAGGGAGCTCTGCACTGTGTGAGAGACCTCGGGCTGTGCCCCACGGCCGGACGGGGAAGCCAGCTGGGCAGATCTGCCTGCCTGGACAGGAGACCAGGAAAATCCAGCAGCTGTTTCAGCTCCTGCCCTGCAGACCTGGAGGCTGGGCTCTGGCAAAGTGTGGGTCCTGGCAGGGCAGGGCCTCAGAGGACTTACCCAGAGTGATGCTGAGTGCTAGGGCCATGTGGGCAACCTCCAAGTCCTCCTGGGGCTCCTCCAGCGTGGACAGCAGTGCCACCAGCTTGTCGCACAGCCGTAGCTCCGCCTTGCGGTTGCCCGTAGTCACTGCCAGGGGCAGGGCCCGGTCCTACCACACAGGCAGGTGGGGTCAGTTTTCCCGCAGCACCCACCTTGCCCAGTACCCTCCTCAGAGCTTGAACATGTGCTTGGAGTTTTCCACGCCCCAGCTACCCCTGGACCTCGACACAGCTCTGTGCTCTGGGATAACGCACGGTTCAGACACCCAAGTTGGGGGCTGAAGAGTCACCTGAGGCCCATCCAGCTACACGGGGCAGCCTCAGACCAGCCTCTCCCACCTGGGCACCGGGGGTCTGACTGCGGGGAGCCAGCACTCCTCTCTGCTCTAAAAACACCACGTTTATCTGTGCCCAGGGCTGAGCCACACCGTGAGCTCAGAGGAAGGGAGAAGCCGTCCCCGCTTCGGGCTGCACGCAGACCTGGGCCTCCCACTGACATGCTGTGTGTCCTTTCACATGTCCCTGTGCCTTTCTGAGCCTCAGTTTCCTCATCTGGAAGATGGGGACAGGACTTCCCGCTCATGGTTGCTTGAGATCATCAGGTACAAGGGTAAAGCCATTGTCATGTCCAGGCCCTGAGCGTTTGTCCCGGGCAGGGGGCACGGTCAATATCATTCCCGGTGAGACCACTAGGCAAGGGTAGAGCCATTGCCATGTCCAGGCCCCAAGCGTTTGTCCCGGGCAGGGGGCACAGTCAGTATCATTCCCGGTGAGACCACTGGGAAACTAAGCATGGGCATGGGTGGCCCTGCCTCCAGGTGGGAGGCCTCTGCCCTGCCACACCTGTGCCTCAGCCCTCCAGGTGCCCCCCGAGGCCCACTCACATCAGCCCACAGGCCAGCTCACCCGGTAGAAGGACACGGCTTTCTCCCGCTCCCAGGCCCCATTGAAGAAGATGTCTCCAGCTGCCTCAAACAGCTCCAGCCCCAGGTTGGGGTCGCCTGTGTACAGGGCCACATTCTGTGCCACCTGAAAGGAGGCAGAAGTTCCCTCAAGACCCACACCTGGCGAGGTGGCCACGCCCACCTTCTCCAGCCTCCTTCCTCTCACACACTGCAGGTACACCTGAGCATGTTTCAGACCCTGTGCATTAGGGCTGCCCCCACCACTAGCATGAGGACAATGAACTGATGCACCTGAGTGCCAGGAGGTGACTGAGCAGCTGCAGCCCAGAAGCCTAACACCTGTGAATCTTACCACCAGGGCTAGCCCTAGCCCACTCCCCCTGCACTCAAACCAGTCTCCGTGGCCCCCAGATTGCTGGGAGCCCATCCCCTGGCTCCCTTCTGCGTTGCCACATCCCTGCCACAGCTCAGGGCCACACATCAACAGTGTTTGTGGGTGGGCCTGGTCCCCTCTTGGCCATGAGCTCTTGATCCCTCTCCTCAGCTCAAGGAGGTCTACAGCAGGTGCTCAATAATGAAAGCTTCACCAGGCTCGTGGGCTTCACAATTTGTTCCAGATCACACTGTGTTTGGGAAAGCCTCTGAAAACAGCCGCTATGATAGATGCATTTTGTAAGGAGATGTGCCACGTGTCGCTTGGAGCAAGTTCTTCTGTGTGTTAACTGAGTGGCCACATTATTTGAGCATGTGCTGTATACCAGCAGGTGCTGGGCACTGTGAGGGGCCACGCCTCTGCCCTCAGGGAGAAGATGCTGGCCACTGGGGGAGGATATGAGGGTACCAGTTGGAGGGAGGGAAAAGGTATACAATAGGTGCGCAGCAGTGGCTTAGGAACGAGTGGATGGATGGATGAATGGATAAATGGATACATGGATGAATGATGGATGGATGAATGATGGGTGGATGGAAGGATGAACAGGAGGTAAGTGAATGGATGATGGAAGGATGGATAGATGATGGACGGATGGATAGAAAGATGAACAGTTGGATGGATGATGAAAGACAGATGGAAGGATGGATGGATGGATGAACAGGTGAATGAATGGATGATAAAAGGATGGACAGATGACAGATGGATGGATGGACGGAGGGATGGATGATGGATGGATGGATGATGGATGGAAAGACGAACAGGTGAGTGGATGGATGACAGAAGGATTGATGGATGGAAGGACCCACAGGTGAATGGGTAGATGATGGAAGAATGAATGGATGAATGGATGGATGATGGATGATGGATGGATGGATGATGGATGGATGGATGGAAGGATGAACAGGTAAACAGATAAGATGATGGAAGGATGAATGGATGGGTGGATGGACAGGTGAATGGATGGATAGACGGGTGAATAGATAGATGACAAAAGGATGGATGAATGACGGATGGATGAATGGACAGATGGATGGATGATGGATGGATAGATGATGGATGGATGGATGATGGATGGATAGTTGATGGATGGATGGATGATGGATGGATGGAAGCTTCCCTTTGCCATAGTTACTGGCCGGGCCTGCAACAATGGGATCCCCAAGGCGCCTGTCAGGCTCCCCTTCCAAAAATTCCTAAGGCTGACCTGGGGGTGGCCATTCCAGACCTTCCCCTAAAGGCGCAGTAGGTGGCCCTGTTTCTTTTATAAGTTTCTGGAGATTAGCATACATACCTTCCCGTTTCTCGCCCTTTTTAAAATGAGACTGTCATGGTTCGCTTAGCTGATAATTAGACTCCTGATTATTCAACTTTCCTATGTCATCCTGGAACTCCTCCTTCTCCTCCTCAGTGTGCAAGGGCTCCAGTGCTGTTTTAACTGCCGACCATACAGACCAAGCAGAGACGGGAATATTGTGGCCCTCTTGTGCTCGTTTTAAGTCTGATCCGACCTTGTCCCAATCTTTTACATTCATGGCTCCATATTCCGGGAACCAAGGAGAATACTTGTCTACCAGATGGAACAAAGATGTGAGATTTGGGGTACTCACAATTACCCCTCCGCGGCGCAGTAACTGCCGCACAAGGCTTAAGTAATTAGCCAACTTACTCTCAGCCTGACCCATGTTTTCCCGAGGTTTCCCTGGAATTCTCCCAGCGCCCTACTTACCCTAGAGCTTGAAGTGAAAACCTACTAGGGAGCCCCTTGTCGGTCGTCCTCCGCTTTCCACGCTCTGGTGTTCCTTCACTGGATTATTTGTAGACATTACGGGGAGCCCCGCCTTGGGCACCAGAGACCAGCCCTGGGCAACCCGAGGGAGACCCCCGTTCATCTACCAAAAAAAAAAAAAAATAGCCAGGTGTGGTGTCGCGCCGCAACAATCTCAGCAACACAACACACAAACAAAACGTGCAACCAGAGACCTAAGATTTTTCTAACAAAATGGCTTCTCTCCCAAAAAATAATTTTTGAAACAAGATTGAGAAAATATTTTGGGCCCCCCAAATCACTAAGATAAAGGGAAAAGTCAATCTGGGAACTGCTTAGGGCAAACCTGCCTCTCATTCTATTCAAAGTCATCCCCTGCTCACTGAGAAGCATGCATATCTTATTGCCTCCTTTGGAAAGGCTCATCAGAAACTCAGGAGAATGCAACCGTTTGTCTCTCACCTACCTGTGACCTGGAAGCCCCCTCCTGGCTTCGAGTTGACCCACTTTTGCTTCAGGTTGTACCGGAACGAACCAGTGTTCATCTTACATATGTTGATTGATGTCTCCTGTCTCCCTAAAATGTATAAAACTGTCAGATACAGTCAGTTTCGCTTCCAAGGTTTGGCATGTTAACGTTCCTGTTTTTTGTTCTGGAACTCAACTTTCTTGTTCTCCATGTCTCCTTGCCCTTAGTTACTGTAAACAACCTTCCCGTCAGTTCTAATCAATAACTCACATCTGTTCCCTTGGTTACCTGCTCTGCACCCATTTCTCCCTTCGAAACCACACGTCCCACCGTTGTAACTCACATCCCCCTTCCCCCTTCCTTATTTGGGAAAATATTCACAAATAGCCAACCGGGTTGGTTTAGATCTTGAGGTCCGGCCCCAGCCCATGCCAGAGGTAGGGATTGCGTTAGGAATAAAAACCCCTGCTTTCCTTTGTTCGGTGTGCTCTTGCTATTGTGACTGATGCGAGCAGCACGCTTCTGCAGAGGTAAATTGCGTGGCTGAGAAAACTTTCGCTTGAGTGCTGCTTTCACTTTGCCGCACCGAGCATTTATCTCCAACAAAACCAAGCTGTGCTCTGACCACCTTGGGCAATTGTCATCAGGACATCCTGAGGCTGTGTCATGCACAAGCATCCCCAATCTTGGCAAAATAAACTTTCTAAATACTCTTATCCCCAAATGCTCAGGGAGACTGATTTGAATAGTCATAAAACTCCGAGGCTGCACTCCAGCCTGGGCGACAGAGCAAGACTCTGTTTCAGAAAAATTAAATTAAATTAAAAACTCCAGTCTCCCGCACAGCCGACTCTGCGTGAATTACTCCTTCTCTCTTGCTATTCCCCCGTCTTGAGAAATCGGCTCTGTCTAGGTAGTGGGCAAGGTGAACCCACTGGGCAGTTACAGAATTGTCATTATATTGCTTGCAATTTTATATATATTTTATGCACAAATAGCTATAACCTTGTATACGAGGTTAAATGCGAATGTCCTCCTTGCATGGTGAGATCCCAGGGCAGGAAGGACGCACCCCCTACAAACCGCTAGGCCAAAACGATCATTCTGGCCTCATCCAGCCTCGCGTGAGCTCGCAATCTCCTGTCACTCAGGGCCTGAGGGGGCGGGGCCTGAAGCCCCCTGCAATCAGGGGCGTTGGGGCGGCGAGCGTTCAATCAGGCGCGCCACCGGAAAGGAGAGGGCGGCTTCCGGGATCTGGCTGGCGGGCGCTTTGTCTGGCCTTGGCCGCAGTAGGCTCTTTCCGTGAGTCTCAGCTGCTACTTCTTGGCTCTGGGAGGCCCAGGTGGCTCTGCAGCAGCCTCTGCCACCCTGTGACCTGCGGATATTGGGACATCCCTCGCTGACGCGGGAACACCCGGGGAGCCGAGGAATGGTGAGTGGACTGCGCCTGGCTTTCCGAAGTGGGGAAGAGGGCTGGGTGAAACCTGCTGGAGCCAGCCATCGGCTGCGGAACCTGCGGACCGAGTCGCCGCGGCGCAGCCGGGCCTCAGTCCCCTTCTGTGCAGGGCCGGGCGGGGCGGGCAGCGGGACCCCCGCGTCCTGTCTGTACCTGCGGGCGCCACTTCCGCCGGCCGGAGCCCTTTCGGGAACCCCGCGCCTCCCCCACCCAGGTAGTGCGGTGACCACGGGAGGGTGATCCGGGAGGGCCCCGACTCGGTGAGCGGGGTTCCAGCGTGGGAGGAGCTGTGGTTCATGGGCTTCCAGTCCCACCTTTCTCCCCCTAAAATTAACCTGAGGCTTTGTTAAAACGTTAAACGGTGTGTTTGAGCAAACGGTGATTCACAAACCGGGTACCGCAGTCATGGTTTGTGGTTTGGGGTCCACAGGAGGGGCGTAAATGAGAGGCTTTGATAAGGTTAATGAGGAAGCAAACCATACATATATATGTACACATATGTATATATATTTTGTTTGTTTGTTTGTTTTGTTTTGTTTTGTTTTGAGATGGAATCTTGCCCTGTCGCCAGGCTGGAGTGCAATGGTGCAGTCTTAGCTCACTGCAACCTCTGACTCCCGGGTTCAAGTGATTTTCCTGCCTCAGCCTCCCAAGTAGCTGGGCTTATAGGCGTCCACCACCACGTCCAGCTAATTTTTTGTATTTTTAGTAGAGACAGTGTTTCGGCATGTTGGCTAGGTTGGTTTCGAACTCCTGACCTTAATTGATCGCCCGCCTCGGCCTCCTGAAGCGCTGGGATTACAGGCGTGAGCCACCTTGGCCAAAATACTTTTCTGTTTCCAAACATTTTACATGAGAGGAAAATGGAGAATAAATCATCTGACACTCTACTGTAAAAAAAATCTTTGTGCCTCTCTTCTTTTCATCCTTCCTAAGTGTACATATTACCAAAATGTCTTTAGGTTGAGGTTCCCACGTGAAAACTTGACAGGGTGTTGTGTCCTCAGCCACCTTCCTGTCTTTTCCTAGTCCTGGTATTTTAGAACTGTCTGGGGATGACCCAGGATACCCAC